GTATAAATTCACTTTTCCACATCCAAAATGTAATTGTTATATGTAAACAATGTTTGTAAATCCCAGGCCCTGAAGATGATCTCAATAAAGATCGAAACGTTGGCACGATAAAGAAAATGTTTTTCTGAAACCTACATCACACCAGATGGCATGTCACGATTTTTAAATAAATATTTGCTTTTAGGGATGAAATCGCAATATCGAATTAATTTTAATGATATACAATTAATTTTGAACTGCGTTTTCTTAAAACAAAAACTTTGAAGCCACTATATTTCTGACAATATTTGATAAATAATAACATTTTTAATAACAATGTACTTCACGTTTGTTTCAAAGCTGAAAATGGACATTTTTATCTCTTATTGAACACGTAGGTTGAGCAATGTAGAGGTGGTGACATAACCCAAAACAAAGAGAACATGTAGAATACTAATCCTATTATATAATATGTATATATTTTTAGCAAGTTAACAAAAGCGTTTGTTGTTAATTAGAAACGCTTTTAACTTTTAAGATGACCGCTTTTTCGAGGCCACGTATATTGCTTTAAATATCATAGCGCTTTATTAAAGTGGGGGGGCATTGTCCTCGTTTCTATTGTAAGCACGGACTCACCAGTCAGGCCAAATCCAATTTGCCTGCACCCAGCAATGACAGCTCATCCTCGATAAGGCCGACAACTCGATTAACGGGCCTTCCATATGGAACTGGGGGTCAAACAGTAGACCGGACCAACGCCATACACAAGTTGGCATCGACGCTCTTTCACAATTGAAAGGGGATTAAATTCTGGTTAATATTAGTTACAGAAGCATCGTGATTCCTTTGAAAGGGAAATTCTCAAGAACGCTTAAAAAATGTCTATATTAAAGAATAAATAAATAAAAAATGCATTACAGACCAACAGGCAAATGAAAACGTAAAACAAAATGTGCTAAAAGGTATGTCCAGAGTTGAACATACTCTTGATAATACCACACATTTTTAATAGTTAACTAAAGAATTTTATGATTATAACAAAATACGTTTAAAAAAACTTCATGGCATAATGCTTGCGTAATTTAATGGATTTATTGTTGAGAAGAAAATTTGTGTATTTGTGTTTAATTTAACAATTTATTTGCACAGTACTTTTTGGCTACCAAATAAAATAATGTGTCTTTGTTGGTGCGTGTGTGCGTGTGTGTGTGTGTGTGTGTGCGTGTGTGTGTGTGTGAGAGAGAGAGAGAGAGAGAGAGAGAGAGAGNTATATATATATATATTTTAGGCTGATATTACACATATTGAGAAGATTTCTATGTTGTTTTTGAACAAAAAGGCTTGAATCTATATTTTAATTCAAATATAAAACATTTTGATTTGGGCTGTTTTTAGCACCTGTCATCTGGAGGAATTGGTAATTAGGCACACTAAAAGTTTAAATTTGGCGCTCAATAAATCAGGCTTTGAGATCATGTCTATCAAACAAAATTTTTAAAATTAAATAATTTATTAAGTCAAACATGTGCTTTCAATGGCGTGGGTTACATCAAGGAAACAATGTTAGCATGTAGAGCACTATTATTTCCAATGTGGCTAATTGTATCATTAATAAATGTCGCATATCTATATAATGGAGCACATGATCCATCACAATAGTAATATGTAACATAACACAAAAATAAAATAGTTTTGTTCTTTACTTATTTAAAATTCTCACAAAGTACATGGATTATACTGTCGTAAGTTTAAATAATTTGTTGGTAATGTACATCTAATTGAAACTATTTTGTTAGAGAACAAAACTTTAGTTTTACCATTTAGCTTTATTTACTCCAATTTTTTTTTATTATTAATAATCACAAAAAGGAATTTTTTCTTTTGGCAAAAAAAAACCTTTGTCCATTTAAAAAATGTTGTTCCTTTATTGGTTTAAATATTAATTAAAGCAAAAGAAGTTTTTTTAAAACGCAATTGGATGAAACCTTACCAATGTGCAGTGACATTTACCTGGCTTCATCGGTTTTCATTTACTGTTGAATAACAAAACCCAGCACTCTTTACAATTCTGTAATAATAGCTGTGCCATTTAAATCTTATGCGAGTGAAAAAAACGTAAAAGAATAAAACAAATGAATTTTATAAAATATATATCCGAAAATTGCCAAACATATATCCTTGATTTTGAAAGCAAAATTAAACTTTCATCAAAGGGTAAACTATATGACATTAAAAATTTAGTTATGTTCTAATTTAAATTGAATATTTAATTTAAAATATAATGGTTTTATAAATCGGTAACAACAATTTGTGAGAATTTTTCATTAAATCTGCTGATCAACAACCAGGTTGGTTAGTGGATGTTAGCCTTTATTGGGAACCTTTTGTTTGATAGATATCATCTCAAAACCTGATTTATTAAGTACCAAATTTAAACTGTTGGGTGTGCCTAATTACCAAGTTCCTCCAAATGCCTGGTTCTAAAAACAGCTCAATCCAAAAAAATTTATATTTGAAATAAAATACAAATTTGAACCTTTTTGTTAAAAAACAATATAGCAATTATCTCAATATGGGTAATTAATATCAGCCTTCATCATAAAAAAATTATTAAAAAAAACTATTTAATAAATATAGAAAGTAAAAAAGTACAGTAATTCTTGTCACACTTGAATAGCTAGTTCAAGCCATTCTTCAGCCATTACTAAACAGTCCAACTACCTGTTAAATGTTGTGGATGAAGGGGCAAACTACTTTACAATACATTTTTCATAACACTATCAATTAAAAAGCCATGGGCTCAATGTATTTAAACCCAGAATTGCTAGTGAGGTAAATACTTGGTCGACACTAAGCCACAGTGGTCCCCCTTACTTAATAAATATAAATACTTATGTACCTGTCTTTCAAAGAGTCCTATAAGATTGCAGTGAACGAGGTCAACCATCTATCCATTGTAGAATGGATGGTAAATAATTAATTTCACACAATTTTTCTTAAATGTTGCATTGAAAAATGTTTTAATACCATGAATGTGAGAACTTTGGTTAATGTTAAGTATCATTGATTATATGACAATCAATTATTTAAATTTGATGGCCAGGAGATATTAAACTGCCCAGCTAAGAAAGAATGCCATTTTTTCGACTTTTGTTTTTTTTTAATTTCTTTTGTTTACCATTGAATTCTTAGGTATGTTTCCTATTGAAAGCCACTATAAAATCAACATAAATCATTCCAGAAATATTAAAAAATCAGTTTAAAATTGTGACGTATTTAACTAGTTTAAGACGTTTTGAAGAAAATACTAGAAAAAAAAGTATTTCTGAAATTTGACTGTATTTTAATAAAATGTATTACTAAATAAAATTAATGCCATTTATGTGTTTATTAAATTCATGTGTCATTTATGTTATTTTCCACTTGTTTTATGCTACTAAAACTCATTTCCTGCATAAAACGTCAATTAGTGGGGAAATACATTGTATGGAACGAAGGAAATGGAAATTCAGTGGTAACTAAGCTTGTTTTAAATGATAATTTATAACTTATTTATCGATTCACTCTGTTGTTATATATATATATATATATATATATTATAATTTCTTCTAACAATGCGAACCCCCACACGGGTCCTCTCCCTTTTCATTTATCATATTCATATTCATATCACCTTTACTTTGGTGCTGTTACTACAGAAATATGATAAATGAAAAGGGAGAGGATACGGGGGTAGGGACCTCCTGGTGGGGCAGTGGGGACTCCTTTTGCGTGGTTTGGTGGGACGGAGACATGGCTGTGTCTTCAGGCCACATTTACATATGAATTTCATTATGCATTAATTTACTATTGCTTTGTAAAAGACATTATAATAAAAAATGTGTTTCTTTTCAGTTGTTCTTTTTCATAAGTAATTATCACAAATATTGAGTAATTAAATTTACTGTAATATTTATTGAAAAAACACATAAAATAAGAGTGAATCAATAAATAATAAAATATAAAAATCAATAATAATAAAAAAAGCTTTCAGTATGATAAAAAAAGGAAGTTAGTCTTAAGCAAAAATCTTTAAAAAATAGGGCAACATAACTGAGGTGATTTAGAATGAAAAACTTCAAAGCTCAATTTCTCAAAACTATCAAAACAGTAGACACTTTTCTTTAGCTGGGCAGTTAGGAGAGGGTGGATATTCTGGCTTAAAAATTTGTTCCTTTGAAAAAATGTACTTACACAGCAATTATTTGTTAATTAATCTTTTTATGTAAAGTCTTGGTTGAGATGAAAAAGCTAGTGTCACGAGTGGGATTCGAACACACGACCTTCGGCTTTCATCTCAACCAAGACCTACATAAAAAGAATAATTATTTGGAATAATTAAATGGATTAATATAATTATTATTTAATTAATGCAAGGATGCAAATTTCACTTTAGGACACTCTAAAAGTTAATCAATTCTCTTCGCTCACACACAGCAAAAAACACCTAATTTCTTCTTAGTACCTCTTACGGTTTGTGCAAGATCAAACATAAAGCTGAAGTAGAAGTAAATTCTTGTGAAGTTTTCTTTTTACATCTAATTCGGAAAAAGAAATGAATTACTTGTACAAATATGGGTTTAGTTGATTGAAAACAAGTTCTTTATTTCTAAGTGTAGATTCAAGTATAGTTATTTTAACAGTTATTCAAATAAATATATATAATACTCGGAATTTTTCGACTGCTAAAACCTAGTAGGGGGACCGATGTTTTCATATATTTTCAATGACAATTTTGAATATTGTCTTATGTTAAAAAAATTGTTATGAGTTTAATTACATATATAATATAGTTTTTTTAAATAATGATTTTGTTTCATTTTTCCAACTGGAATAGCTTTTCACTATTCAAAAGATTTACGCTATGTAAATTTATTTAAAACAAACACAAAATCAGAATTAATAAAAATTGTTAACAAAGGTAAATGGAGGAACTCTGATGATTACAATAAAAAGGAAATTATATTGAAATAACTCAATTCACACGAAATGAATGACTATATTTATTTCCACAGAGTATAAAAACACACATTAGCAACTGACTTTATCAAAATAATATAGTGTATAATATTACTCTTCTTCTTTCTCTTTTGTTGTTATATCTAACCATATTCTTAACAATTTAGTGATGTTATCTGACAATATATAGATCCTTTCCAAGCAATCTAACAATTTTAATTGTTATTTCATATTTACAAAACAGACTAGATTAAAACAAAAAGAAAATTAAAGATATATGCCCACTGTAGTTTTTTCTTTAGCAAAACTTAATTAAGAATAAATATACATTATAATTAAAGTAGTTACAAAAATAAAGTACTTTGTTGTGATGTAAACAACTGAATAAACATACTTAAAATTAGAAAGTAATGATGTAAGTAATGAACATTTATTTTGAACTGAACAAATCATGGTCATACACGAGTGAAATTCATGAATTTAAAAATTAAAAACTTCTCTTTTCACCTACAACCTATGGCAGTACAAAAACACTTTCCTTAGACAACATATTGTCAATTAAAAAATGGTCATACAAATTGGTAACTTACGCATCTAGCTAAAATGTTTTAAACCTCTATATCACATAACCAGGTTCATGCTTAAACGGCACAATAAAATATATATTGACTTTTATAATACATGGGTTTTCCTTAAAGTTTTATATAAAATAGAACTTTTCACTATATTAAGGACCACCATTTTTTTCCATGTGTAATTTAAATGTAATCTTTAACTGATTTTAAAATGTAAAAAATAAAAGAAATTTTCGTAAAATGTGATTTTGATTAGTTTGAAAATCTGAACAAATGACAACAAAAAGTGGCCCATGTTAAAATTACGCAAACTGCCCACATTTGATTATATATTTACAATACAGGTTTATTTCCATCAGTTATAATAATTATACACTATAAGGTACAAAATTATTTAAAAGGTTAAAAATCATTCGTTCCTGACAGCAAAAGCTTAGGAAATACAACCTACTTGTGAAAATCACAACCAAATCTACAAATGCTTCATTGTTGTTTATTTACCTGAATTCATTAAATTTAAAATAAATGTATAATCTATTTTCCCATTGCTTTCATTTTACTAAACATTTTCCCAAATTTCCCTTAAAAATTGGAAGATCTTCAAATATGATGTTCAAAATCATTTAAAATGAATATGTGATTTCCTGACCGCTAAACATCACAGCATCTTACGGTTTTTTAAAGATATCTATTTGTAAAACACCTTCAAAAACTTTAATTAAAATATTAATCCATAAAAGATTAATTACAATAATTACAAATATTACAAACAATAGCCAGTATTAACGTTTCAAGCTATCACTTATATTATTTTTATTTGGCATTTTTGTCCATATAATCTATATAAAAATATATACATGCTCTAGAAATAGAACACACATATATATTTTATGTAAATGTTAAAAATAACTGTACACAACAGATTTTTGCAATAAGCAATACATAAATAGTGCTTCTTTTAAAAAATATATAACACCGATGTTTAAAATTAATGTCATGTGTCATTTCGTTTATGCGAGTCAGTTCTGTGTAGTTGATGATCAGGTGTTGCCTTCAGGATGTCAGGTTGTGTGGTTCTTGTTAAAGTGCCGGCCAATGGAGTACCTGTACCTCTTCCAAGAGCATTCATATAATCCGCAATCAAAAGAGTCAGCTCCAAGATCTAGACAAACCATTATTATTTATTACAAAAGTTGGATCTTGTAAATAATTGAATTTGTTTTCACTTACTTTTGGTTTGCTTAGAGCAAAAAGTAGCTTCTGCGATCCAAGCCCTTCATCGGAATTAACTACTAGCATGAAATCTTCTTGGCACCCACCAAAAGTTAAGACACTGGTGTACGGGTACCTTGCTAGTGGTTGCATAGTATCTAACTCTAAAAGAGTCACACTATCTTCAGCAACCGCAACCCAAACCATACCCCACTCACTTTGTTTCAGCTGAAAGTTGATTATTATTAGAAAATAAATAATTTTATGCATTGTAAATATATAAAAAGCATGTATACAAACCTTCGCCTGAAACAAGCTAGCACCGAAGTATGGCCACTTTCTTGTACAAGTTAAATAAATTCGAACACAGTCTAATGGCCCTCGACCTTTCAATGACATCCATTTCTCCTGTAGAGCACTTTGAAGTTCTCTGGAAAAAAAATCATAAATAAAACCTCCTATTTCCAAATTTAAAAAAAAAAAGAAAATTTAATTTTTACTTTAGAGTATCTTGAGCTAGTCCATCTCTATAGCGATATGGATAAAATTTGTCAAGAGCTTGCAACACTTGAAGATCTCTTACATTTCCACCGCTACCTCTTGCTTTTTCTGCATGGTACTCACCAAAATCAATCTGTAAATGAATACAGTAAATAGGTATTCATTGCAAAATTTGATAGTTCAATAATTGTACCTGTGCCATTAAAGCTGCTAATTCAAGGGCAAGGTCACGATTGACAGGGAACCTTCCTTGCACTACTTGGTGATTTGTTTGGTAACAAAGCAGCAGCCTTTCTCTATCCGTCTCCATTTTGGCGACATGCCTCCAATACAACCTATTCTTATAGACTAGCTGGATCACTCGAGTTGTCTCAAATTTCCCTGAGCCTTTCTCCCTAAGAGCCGTTTCCCATTTGGATATTACATCACAGAGCTGTTGACAACTTTGCTTTAAAAAAACGGCTCATTATTAAGATACGATTACAAACCTTGGCCTGTGGATCTATATAATGTTCAAGATCTTTTTCAATTGGGTCATCGCTGAATAGGGTAAAACCAGAAGTGGCTGATTCTCTACAGCCGATTTCTTGATTCAAGGTTGACATAAATTCCTCGATAGTCGAAGAGCCATCGAATCCAACAACCTGAGAAAGAACAGAATTAATTATGTCATTAACAAGGTGATATAAATGCAAAGAAGCTATTCTAGTTACTTGATATGTTCCATTGAGTAGATGCACTGGAATAGAATGGGGCAGAGAATGATGATAAGGATTCTTTAACAAGATAGAGAGTACTTCCATCCTAGAAGGTTTGGCCTCTCGCACTCCATTTTGAATAGTCCGTTCTAATGCTCTTTCACAGTATGCAGCATACTTCCCACACTCAGTCCTGTGAGTAATGATGCTTTAGAATTAGTAGAACAATTTTTCCATGTTTTTGAATTTCAATTTATTGACAGTTAACTGTAAATATAATAACTCAAATGGCTGTCTAAAATTAAAGTAAGCAATAGAATAAATACAGAATATAAGTTGAGTGGAGCATCTATAGGTAAAAGTTAGTTAAAAAAATTAAATAAAGCAGATATTTTTAATTGTAATATTACAGTTAACTACACGATCAATTTGTAATATATTTTGATGGTTTTTATTAACTTAAAAAAGCCTATAAATTGAACTTTATAGACAAACCATTTCTTTTAGGTAGGCCTTATATTAATGGAACTTTTTTTTTGTTAAACGAAAATCACAATTTTGCAATGTTTTGGCAATCCTGTGTCATTTGAAGGATATTTATTTTAAATAAAATTACATTACAAATTCAATAAATTTCAAAAATATTTTTTTCATCTATAAAAGTAAAAAAAGACAAATAAATATATGAATTGAAGTTTGTCTCTTTCATTAGTATTTTATTTATACTATAAATAACATTTTAAAATTGCACTTACTTGCTATCAGTGTTTCTTAAGAGATGTAGTTTCAAGTACCACAGCAGTTTATTATTCTTTGGGACGAAAAGTGACACAGCCAATGCCAGGAGCTGCCATGCCTGGACTAGTGCAAAGTTCGGTGGGTTCGCCTTGCAGGAATCGACCGGCGCCTGTGGAGGTGGGGTTGGGAGAGGTCCAACAGTCGGTGATCCAGCACCATCACAGGAGAACAGCGACTGTGTGGCGCATAACAGGAGTTGCTGAAAGCCAAACATCGGTGCCTAAGCCCTATTTACCCACAAGCCCAACCCTAGTTGATCTAATATCCCTACTCTAATTAAGAGATAAAAAACTATGGTACATAGTAACCACATTTAATTATAGTTAAATCCCGATATATCGTATCTTCAAGGGGATGAAGGATATGTACGATTTTTTTAAATGGAATTACCCTTATGAACCCGCATATTAGCATAGTTGATTGTTTTTCATATGTGTAGTTGGGGGAAAGGTTACTGCGAAAAAATGGCTAGGGGCATCAGTGGGAATCGCACCACAACTGTGGCGTCTACGAGCCTAGAGTCTATCATGCTGACAACTCGACTATCCCAGTCCCCTAATGTATTGATGTTATACCAAAAGTTTTAATTTTTTTAGTGTGTTGCATACAGGGTATCAATTATCAAGGCTCTGGTAATTATGATAAATAGTACTGTTTGTTTTCAAGTTTTATAATTTTACTCACAATAAATTATTCAAGGATTTATAAGTATTAGACATTACGAATAGTTTCAAAAATAGGACCACTATATCAGATACACAACTTTGTGGTATTTTCCATGGAAAAACTAACAAAAACTCGTAACTCATCAGGGACTGAAGAAAGGTATTGGGACTATATATATTGGAAGTTGTTGCAAATAGGGTGGACTAGCACCCAAATTTTTTTTTCACATTATGTCTGGGACACCCTGTATATGAATGTAAGGAAAGTTTTACTTTATTAAATTATTTAAGCATTTGCTGTATATTGCTAATTTAATTGAATGTGAATTGCCCCAAACATGTTTTCATCCATGTTTGATTCTGCTAAAAAATGACGTAATCAACTGGTCATTTTCTAGGCCTCTTTATGACTGATAGTCGCAACACTTCTAATTCTTCGTCTTCTTCACTTTCCATTTCATCTGTTTCAGTTAAAATTTTGATGACAGTAAGCATTATAGACAGTATGCAACTTCATAGTTAAAGTTAACGAAGTCCCGAAAAGTGGTTGGATTTTCTTAATTTTGTGACAAGAGATCCGATCAGGGCTTGAATTTAATTTTCCGGTTCCATGGGCAATATATCCTTTTTAAGGAAACAACAAGTTCAGAAGCGATTTTTTATAATATTTTTCCATGTTTTGTTGACAATATTCGACAATTGCAGTACACAATGATGTTTAGATTGTTTACTTGAGCTAGCAGCATCGGATGTTACAAACAAAATCTTGGAACACCCACCAACGGTCTTAACAGACTCTTGGAGTCTTCATGACATGGAGCTTGGTCCGTCCTTACAAGGAAATCCCTACTACTCTATTCATTTGTTTTATCGGGATTTCAATGCTAAAGTACAAATTATAAGATGTTTTGTTGACTATGAATAAGGAAAAAATATTTTACACTGAGGGGACTGAAATGGATTTATATGATTTAACAAGTTTTTTCATGGGACCATCACTTTCTTACAATTTGCCGGGATACGAAATATCAAGATTTCACTGTACATGCCAAATGATAGAAATTCGCTTATTTATTTGAAGTAATTTTATCCCAGAAGGGGCTATTCTGTTTCATGCAAATTGCATTACTAAAAAAATTTCTTTGCAGTTATGTACAGTATATTATATAAAATAAAAATGGACTAAACACCGACATTCAGCGTAGCAAGACAATAATTTATAATTATGTTGACACTTAGTGCCAAATTATACATAAACATTGTGCAGCACAGTGCATAACAATTAGGCTAACAATAGCTAACATAACAGTAAGATTTTTGCTAAATTAGCTAAAAATCTAATGGGTTTGCTGAAATAAATAAACTTAAAATAAGTAAATAAATAAAATAAAGTGCATTGCTGGAGTGCATGACATCAGTATTCTTATCTATTAACAATTGCAAGAATGGGTTTATTTTTCTTATACATTAACTTTTCAAGGAAATGTAATTTTTAAAATTATTCCTGCTTGAACTAATTCAAACTAAAAAAATATTGTTTTCAACCTGAGATTTGACAATGAAATCCTTCAAAATTTGGACATTAAATAAGCAATTTTGAAAAAAAAATTACAATGACAAGACAGTGCATTTTCATTACCAATTATTTGACTCCCACAATTTATATGCAGAAAAAGACAACTTTGGTAATGAATAATAACAAAATAAAAGAAAATTTGCCATGCGGGAATGGGAACACTTACACGATGCCTCAATTTGGCGAATACCTGGACGCCTGTCTTGGTTGGGACGTGCCTCGACGTCTGTTTAACGAGAGCACACATCATTTCCGCTTGGAGCTCCCATTGATCAAGGCACTGCTGGAGGGCATTCTGAGCTAGTACTACATGGTAGTCAATACCTGCTGATTCTACAGCTACTGATGTAAAAAGTTGACAACTCTGGAATATCAAAATACTCGTTAGAAATATTCATGCGATAAATAGTACAAATAGTACCTTGAATAATTTTATTGCATCTGCTTGAAGAGCTTCAGAAGATAAAGTTGTAAGAGGAGAACTTATTGTTTCCTTACTGTGAAGAAGAATCGGATGCCTCCAAAGCACACAATCTGCAAATACGAATAATGAAAAAACAAAAACTTAAAAAATATTCTCCTAACAAAAGACAGTTAAGATTCTTCTTACTCGGGTCTCCATCAGTTTCCATAAGCTTTTGTACTAATTGTTCATATTGTGTACCAGCATTTGGTCCTGCACCTGATACCACTGTTAAATGGTAGAGCCAAGAATCCTACAAAACCAACAATCATTGTAAGTTTATGCCAGTTTGCTTAATTTATTAAATTAATGATACATTACATTTTCTTGCTTGTTAGGCATAAGCAGATAAGTAGGTGGTTGATGGTTCGGAAAGATTCCTATTGTTAGTTGAGCTAAATCACTATCTCTGTCTTCGCTGTCAGAGTCAGAAACATGTTCAACTTGTTGCACCCTGGCATCTCTCATATTTATTTGGCCAACAGCATTCTAGCAAAGAGCAAAATAAATAATTGTTTTGGTTTTTAATGATAATTATAACAAGAAAGAAAGTTTACATTGTCTGAAGGGGATTTGAAATAGAGAAACATCTTCCCGAGAAGCACACACCAGCATTTTTTTGCATGGCCATTCCTCACTTTCGTCAGCCAACTTTGGAGCGTCGGCTTATTGTGTTCTCGGCTGAGAAGTAATTTTGTGGCATTCCTTCGTTGAACGTTCTAACAAATAACACATATTGTAAGAAAAACAAGAGAAAGAAGAAACAACAAAAATTTATGACTATCTTCATTCTATCAAATTATATGGATTGCATTTCACATACTTGGCCTCTAGGTTAGCTGTTGAGAAGGGTTTGGGCCAAAAGTGCAAAGCAGAAAAGCAAAAAATGCTTCATTCTGTGCTTTGGAATAATATTCATTCAAAAGAAAATTACAAAAGAATGTGTAATATTTAGTGACCGTTACTGATTATTTAAAGATCATGAGAAATGGTCTGGTGTGATGTAGGCTAGTAAAACATTTCCTTTATCATGCCAATGTTCGTTAATAAACATGGTTTAAATTAAACAAATTCATACGTGTTTGTAACTTCTAACTGATGATGAGCGTTTAATGCTTGAAATTCGGATAATTGTAAACAATAGTGGCCAAAATGGCTTTCAATCGAGGCAAAAAATGTACTTTTTCTTTGTAGGCTTTAAGGCAGCATTTGATAACATTGACAGAACAGCCCTCACAAAGCTTTATAACTTAGATTTCTCCATAAAATTTGTAAATACCCTAAAATGTATATTTAATCAAAGTTCTGCAGTGGGAGAGAAAAGCGTTCTGATTATTTTAATACTAGTAGAGGGGTAAGGCAGGGATGTATTCTTAGCCCAATTTTGTTTGCATTGTTTTATCCATCATCGATTCATGCTCTGGCTAAAATTACCTGGTTTGATCATAAGTGCTTAGTGTTAAGGTCTAAAGTGATTTCCCTTCTAAAACAATATAGTTTGATCGATTCACCTGTAGTTAGGGTAAAATATGGAAGCCAAAACTACTTTTAAATTAATTATGCAAAAAAAAAAAAAAATCCTCACAGACAGCAAATGCAATTCTAAAGCTTAGGACGCCTGTCTTGAGTCATAGTTATGCTTCTTAGTTGGGAACAGACCCGATTCAATGTTGAGCATCTGTTTGGAGGCTGCCCTACACAATAAGTCACGTCTACACTATAGAGGTAGTTCCCTAGAAAATGTCTTATGAAATGTCCTAGCAAGTGTTTCTTTGTTATTGTAATTATTAATTAATTTTAAAAAAATCAAAGAAGATGGTGGGTCCTAAAATTGTTTAGTAGCAACAATGATATATGCCGCGATTTTTTGGACACATTAAGGCTAGAGGATGGAATGGGATTTGTAAACTTTTTAAGGATGACACATTTTTAAATTTTTTAAAGATTTTTAAAATCTTTTGCAAGTGGTTGCGCCGAAGGTGTTTATAGAAAACACAAGATTTAGAAATTCAATTTCCCCTACTGTGCAACTCATTTTTATATATNATAAATTATACCCTCAGACGGTTTTAAACCATGAGGAACATCTTTCTTGCCCTGTAATATATACTGCCGATTTGTAAACTTTGTATATATATTAAAGAATAAAGACATATAGTAGTAGTAGTAGTATATATAAATTGTATATCTTAGTTCATAATTGTATGCATGCAGTTCAATCAACACACCCTGAATTTTTTTTTTCTTTTTTCATCGTTGATTGGTGTTTTTATTTTTTATATGACAAATTTTTGGGTGACTTCTGGCTGACAGTTTCTTCCATGCTAATTGTTTACACTGAAGTGTAATTTATTCTATTTTCTTATTAAAAATTAGTCAATTAAAATGTCTTATAAATGTCCGCTTCTCTAAGACCTTGAAGCGGACCGATGGGCGTTATCCTGCAGGAGCGAATTGTAAGGTGAGTGAAACATTGCTACGATCGGCAAGTGATTTTCTCATCGTTTTTCCTTATGTTAATTATTGAAGAGTTTAATTAATTTTTATTATTATTTTAATTACAATAAGCCTACGGCTTAATCACAAATAAAATCTATACTTAGTGTAAAATATTGTAAAATGCTGATATAATAAATAGAGCATTATTATTACTATTATTAAATTCTGTGAGTAAAGCCATCATTTACAAAAAGCGAATCTACATACTCACCCCTCCTTTGTTATTTCTACATCTACCGACTTACGTACTTGTTCAAATAGTGTCCAACAGGACTACAGATCACAATTTTTATTAACACATTCTTGTTTCAATTTATAAAAACAAATGAAATACAAAGAATAATATTAATTATGAACAAACAAATGATTAAGATTAATAATTTTTGCTAAGGATTTATTGTTGTATACCCAAAGAGTTGCCTAATATTAATTTGGTAAATCTACTGAGCATCGAAGGTTTAGAAAAAAATACATTTAAACTCATGGGCATATTAGTAATTGGTCTTTTTTGAAGTAGTATTTTTGGGTTGTTTATTTTTTAACTTATCATTTATTTAATGATTATTCGGACATCGGGCGATGTGGTCCGGTGTGACATATCATTGACTAAAGGTCATTAAACACCACACATTATTATGTAATTTTTAATTTTTATGCTGGTAATTTTTAAGTATCTCAAGTTACGAGGAAAGTTTCTTATTATTTCTTGATAGTACTGACCTGTAATACTCTAACCCAGTCTTCAGTAGCAGCTATTGAATCTGCTGTTAGGTAGTAGGTTTTCTTTTCAGTTGCTATCTCAAATGTAGCAGCACCTTCTGCTCGATTTATCCTACAATGTTCATCTATACTTATTTCACCTTGGGGTTTCCTGTTTACATCATTCTGCAAAAACCAAAAGTACATTAGAATTTTGTATTAAATTATTTTTTGTATGTATCAATGTATCAATCTATTTTTTGACATTACCTGACTTTTCCAGTATCTTAATTTAGCATTGTTGAGCTGGAACCAGCGTCTAGTCCAAGTTTTCAGTTTTCCACCAAGTTTTGCCAAGTGGCCGCTCTTCTCAATGAGCTCTGCTCCTCTTTGGGTACGACTAGGGCTTCCACCAGGTCCCCTTGCCAGGCCACTCCAGTCCAGCGACTCACAGGATACAGCGTCTGGAGGGATTGCATAATCATCGGACATACCGGATTCAAATGATGTATCTAGGGAATTTGTCCCAAATAAAGAAAATGCCAAACGAAAAAAAAAAGTGCACAAAATAAAACCAAAAGCACTACAAAATAAGATGTGGCATTTTAACGAAATAACAAAATAAAAATGTAAATATAAAATTATTCCAACTTACGCAACATACTTTTGGAAGGTGATCCTGATGAACTCCTTTTTGCAGGAGAAAAGCTAGATGTTGTTTGAATATGACTTTTGCTCGGGCTTGAGCTTGACAGTGAGGTATCTAATGGAAAGTTAACTTCATTACATTAAGTGAAATTACATAATTCAACAAATATGAAATATTTGTTGCTCAATTTTAAAAAACTGAAATAATTACCAGTGTTATCAGAACTACTGTTTGTTCCCCTAGTAGTACTGAGGTTTAGAGCGTTTGTATGCTCGCCTTCACCATCACTAGAATCATCTGACGAATCACCAGTAAATGGCATAGAACGAATTTGACTTGCTCTCTAAAATTTTGAAAAAAAAAATATACAGTTTGACTACATGACATTGAAATAATTTAAGAGAACATACTCCTTTTACGGTGGCATACACAGGTACACTGATTTCACAGTAGCCTTGTGAGACATGTAGCCTTGTTGCTGTGTTATTGTTACTTGAATCTGGAGTGGGATGAGGTGCAAGGCCTTCATTTGCTACTTGATAAATCCTACTTTCCCACGATGGGAACCTTAATGAATAAAAGGAGGCATTGTGAGTATTAGTGAATTACAAGGCAAACAGTCAGTCATTAAAATTATGTAACTACCTGTGAAGGGGAGGGGTAGGCGGTTTGCTAACATCCCAAGCATCTTTTTCAGTACTAGGGGTGTAAATTTCAGCATAGTCATGGCCTTGCTCGGAATCCATACATTCTGATTTTGCTACAAAGTGAAATCAATTAAAAAAAAATAAATAAAAGATATAAATAATTTATAGCAAAAGAACATTTTTCCAAATTAAATATATGATAGTGTTAATCTTACTTACGTCTAATATGGACAGGTAGAAGGGCTAGACTTTCAACAGCAGCTTGCAAATCATCACTGAGCTGCTGTGAAGGGCTGGTATTTATGGTGACAGCCGTTGCTGATAAATGCCTTCTGTGGCCTAACTGGGACCCTGGTTCTTGGGGCACAGGTTTTGGCCTTCTTGGCACTTCAGCGTAGACAGCTTCATTTTCCAAAAGCGCACTACAAACAGATATATTGAACACCAATGTTTAATTTTAATTTAAATTTATTTAAAAAAATAACTGACGTGGTAGATGATGTGGTATTCGATCTAAGCAGGCTTTGAGGCCTAGCCCTGTCAGTACCAAGATCAGCCATATGCCTCCTTAGTAGCTCGAGCTGCTGATTGCAGCGATGGTTTTGCTCTCGCAAATGTTGGTTCTGGGCTTCAAGCTCTTTCAGCTTGTTTGTAACCCACTCTTTGATCCGAGCAGCTTTTGCTTCAACCTGCCTAGCGTCAGCTAATCTCAATTGTCTCTGAAAACACAAGAATAAAAGCAAAATTAAGATACTAGATAAAATATAGTACAAACAAGTTAGCTGTGCAAAAAAATTTAAAACACCTAAGGGTTTTTTTTTCTTGAGTGGATAGGGCGGGTGACTGGGTAGTAGTGAACAGCATTGAGTTCCGACCAGTCCCCACCCTTATTTTCATGACTCAGGGGGTTTACTACTGAGGATGCTGCCTTATATTAAACCCTACTGCAGTAAAAAAACATTCTGCTTTGCCATAAAAAGGGAAAGTGTTTCTATTTTATTGATCATTTAAATGTTCCTGAATTAAAGAAATAATAATTCTTAAAAAAGTACAATTTATAGAAAAAGTTTAGTTCTATAAAATAAATTCACCTTATTTTGTTGATAAGACAAACAGTAAGATTATAAAATTTTAAATATGCAAAAATGATCATATTCAATCAGATCATAAAAGTTCAAAAACGATTGTAAGAAGCTTTTTCCCACGATAGCTACATGGTTTCTTTGTCATGCCACAAATAACACCTGCTTAGTTACGCGTTAGTCCCCCACCATTATGACTAATACTGCTTAATTAAATAGAAGGTAGTGTTACACAGGCTAAATATTGGGGAAAAACTTAAAACTTGAAAATTAGTTTAGGCCATTTAATATAAAATAAATAATTATTCAGAAATCATGAGATGCGATCTGGTGTGATGTAGGTTTCAGAAAAACATTTTCTTTATCGTGCCAACGTTTCGATCTTTAGTGAGATCATCTTCAGGGC